TGAGCAATACGCTAATACTGCCATACATGTACGTAGTCCTATTACAAATTGTCGTCCAACATTCAGTTGATACCAATGTCTGATTGTTACTGTGCAGCGCCACCATGGTGGTGAACGGCTGGACTTGTTCTCACTCTCGGTGCTTAGCCACACTGCTTTTGCCTCCGTCTAATCGTCGAACCCAAGGCTCTGGATCGCCTTCTCCACTTCCTCGTCGCTAAACTGCATGTCCTTCTCGTCCATCGCGGCAGCGTCACGGCCGCGATCATCCTCGTCGGCATCCGCGTCGTCCATATTGAGATCGAAGTCGCTGTCGCTTCGCGTTCTCTCCTGATCAGCGGAGTCTTGCTGGTCGTCTGCGTGCATTGCGATATAATTCTCCACCTCCTCGTCCTCCTCTTTCTGCTCGTCGGCAGTCAGCTGGTGCTCTGAGCCTTCCTCGAAGTCGAAGTTGGTCGCATCGCTGAACATCTGGTCGTACTCGTGCTCGCCGATTTGCTCTTCACCATCGTCGTCGTAGTTTGATGTAGCCGATACACACGACACCAGGGCAATGGCCGTCAGTGCTAGTAGGTGCCACTTCATTCTTGCTGGAGGGAGTGAGGCAAAGTATTCGGCGTGCAAACTGACTTCCGCGAGACCTCTCCAACAATGAGCCGGCACTGCGAAATCGAAGTGACTCTTCTCAGCGATTTCAGTGAGTCAAGGCTCACTCAGAAAATAGGATACTCAGCTGATCACGGTCCGGGACGATGCCTGGATATCAGCTATGACTCTGTGGGATACGATCTACAGGATGTTCGGGTGGAGGGGCGGGGCGGGGACACACGCAGCCACGTACGCCGCTGCAGCATTGTGACGAGAAGTCATAAATCGTAAGAGTGTGCAAAGCGGCTGCAGCAGCACTGGACGCCCATATGCAACAACAGTGCCCTACTCTTCGTGCCTTGACGCCTGACGGTTGTGAATGCAAACACAGACTACTTCTGTAGACTGTGGTCGCTATCGTCGCCAGACCATTGTCACCTGACACGCTCAGGCCTTTCCTAAAGAGGCTTTAGGGTACGGACGCGATCATGCAGAAAACCATGCGGTTCTCATATGGACATCACATGTCTCTCGTAAACAAAACCCAGAGCTAGAGATGTCGTTATACTCTACATGTCAAGTGGTTCTGGTTCAAATGTTTGAGCGCACGATCTCTATACCTCCTCTCGAGGTCCGCCCCCCAAACGTGGCCCAGGGCCAAGTCCTCACTTGTCCACATGGCAAGGGGAATAGTTAGGAAGTTTACGTGCTGGCGGTCTGGAGCCGCTGCATGGTTCACATGTCACTAGTCCTCGCTCGTCTCAGCCAGGGACTTCACTGCAAGCCAGAGTCTCCGGCACCCGTCTCTCGATCTCAGGGCAGGCAGCGTGCAGGCCCAGCCAGCTAGGTGAAGCAGCGAACGGCTTTGTAGGGCATTGATCAAATGCCTGGCGGAGAGCAGCGGGGTGAAATTTGCAGTGTAGACAGCGCAGGGCAGCCAGTCCTGCTCGCTAGAAAGAAGAGGCTTGGCGTTTCCCTTTAGTTGCTTGCTTTCTCCCACTGCTACCGGCAAGTGCAGTTCGACTTTTGCTGCTCCAATCTCAGGTAAGTTGTATAGCACTCTAGATCTCTGTGTTTTGCTCTCATGCCTCCGCTGAAGAGGGGGGGGGGGGGGGGCTGCTCGCTGGGCAACTACACTCTAACCGTAGGTCACGTTGGTTAGTTCTCCTTCTGCGTAAGTTCTAGCCTTGGCCTGTGATAACGTAAATTACAGGTACGGCGTTCGGTCCTTGCTGCGTCGAATCTACTTGCCAATACTTGTCAGTACATTGGTTGGCATTTTGCATTCCGGATAATTCGAAATGGAAGCAAGGAAAGTTGAAGTTCGAAGTAACGGTACTAGCCAGTATCCTGGAGAGTTGTGTGGACATTTCAAACTTTTTCCTATCCGTAAAGATGAGCTCAGGTGCGACAGAGTTTTTCCCAGGCCAAGTAATCTAGTTCCACCGTGTATTCCAGTCGTTTCCCAACTGTCCATAAGCCCTGTTTGATGGAGTTGACGTTCACCCCGCTAGTGTTATGCCCTCTGCTGTTCGACAGGGTTGGCAGCAGCGCACCATCCACGCCACACAGTGGCTAGCTAGGTAGGCTATATCTACCGTTGCACTGAGCACAAGCTGTGTGTCCTGCTGCATGTCACAAAACTGTCCAGTTTTTGAACGCCGGCTCAAAGCAACATGCCACCGGCTTCGGACTTCGATGCAGTCGAGAGTAGAAGTTGTGACTGAGGGGATTCCCCGCGGAGACTCCGTGCGCTTGCACATGACAACAATTAGGACTTAGAGTAGAGGTCTGGAGTCTAGCGTCTACTAAAATCTATCCTTACCTACACCGCTGCCCGAAGAAATCCCATCGCGAGAGTCAACTGACATAACCGTAGGTGGGCGCTGTATGCAGCCCCAGGTCCACCTGGGAATACAATGAAACTTGTCTAAGACGACCACCGCTCAAGGGATCTTCAAAATGTGGTCTCTGTTACCAGGTGGTCTCCTTATCCAGGGTCAATTAACTGGAAGTAGCATCCCTTGGTCCTGGTTCCAGTGGTCTTCTTTAACAGGTGGTCGCCTTATCCGAGTGGTCGCATTGACAGGTTTTACTGTATATGTACAGAGCTGTGGTAGATTACCGGTCCTGGCGGAGGATGTTAGGTAGCGAATTCACGCAGTGGCAGGTTTCGTTTCCCAATACCGTATCTGTTCCAAAGAGTGACCGAGAATACCGCCCCCTCCCAAAGCCAAGGGACTTTTGAGGTTGTGTTTTCCTTCGCTTCCTACACTTGGAAATCCCAATTGGTTTGGCGTACATGTACACAGGCGTGGAACGACGCAATGAAGAATTCTGTAGTAACTAGCTTGTATGAATGTGCGGGATTTGGTGGCCTGTCTCACTGGCCGGATAGTGGTGATGGGGGCCGCCCCCTAGCTTTCTGTTCGTCATGCAGTGTTTCAGTCCTACATACAGACGGTCTTATGATGATGTCACAGGACTGTGTGTTCATACACGCCGCTAATATTTTAAAAAAATAATTTTTTTATTACTATTGACAATTGGCGGCATACGCAATGTGTAGAAACAGAGGAGTCGGAAGGTATTTTAGTGTGGTACGGTCAGCCATCTGAACTGTACAATTTTACTGCTGGGGGGGGGGGGGGGGTGGCTGAGCCGAAAATTTTGGAAATTTGGAGCCCAAATCAGTGAATTTTATAAATATGCTTCACGGGGTACTTGGGGCAAATAGTGGTATTATTTATTATTATTATTATTATGAAATGACCCAAAGGAAATGTGCCTATCGAGGGGTTAATTTGATTGAAAGAACAGTAGATGTGTATGGTCAGTAGCGTGGTGACCGTACCGTGTGCGACACCCCTGAGAATGGATGCGATGCTGGAATAGTGTTCACCGGTATGCGGTTTCGTCTGATCGTTGGAGATGGGTTGTAACTTTGTGGGGCAAAGTACTGGTACGAGTATTGGTCCGACACTCAAACCTGCTCGCAAACTATGACTGCTTGCCACTCCACATACAGCATAGAGCTACGAGCAAAGACTAGTGCATTGTAGTGCATTGCGCTGGTGTTCGTTCTACGTTTGCGGCGATCTCATTCGAACAAACTCTACACTATCAGACTACAAGACCGTGATGCACGACTCGACTAGACTGTACGCGCACCGCATTGCTATGATAAACACGTGGGTGGCTGTGTGTGTGTATGTGTGTATGTGTGTGCGTGTGTGTGTGTTTACGCGTACCTGTACGTTCATGCTCAGGTTGCGCAACTCCCGCTAGGACGCAGTCAGCACGCTATCCTCTAGCCTGACACAGTCACGTGATCGGCAGACCGCGACCAACAACATTACGTCACCATGAAGTGGTTTCAATGGATCACATTCGCCCTGGTGACCCTGCTCATCATTGAACTGATGCTGGTACCGAACGAGACTTCGGCTTTTTGGGGCCGCCGCCGCCGCCGCCGATCCTCCCGGAGAAGACGTAGCTTTTTCCGCCGTATTGCCGAAGGTGTCCATAAGGTTGTCCGCAGTAAGCCATTCCGTATTGTCTCAGGCGTTGTGAGTACTGTCAGCGGTATAGTGGGTATTGGATGCTGCGCGGCCACTCCAATTCCGCCGATCGCACCCTTTGCCGCGGGATGCTGCGTAGGTACAAGAGTCATAGCAGGCGTTAGCTGCGGACTTAACACCTATCAAGCGGCCCACGATTACAAGGAGGGCAAGACTACGAACGCAGCCGTGGGTCTTGCCAGCGCGGGCAGCTCGTGCCTTGAGGCTACTACCGGCTCCGGTGCGTTGGGTCACGCGTACAAGGGAATAAAGGCCCTTGGCAAGAAGCGTCGTCGCAGATCAACTGAGGTGCAACAATGCCCGAAAGCAACTCACATCGCGTCGGACGCAGCCAAGCTGAAGATGCACATCTGTACTCTCCTTGAGCTGCGCACGGCATGCCGTAAGGTGCGCTCCACGAAGAGATATGATCTGCTGAATAAGGTCATTCGCAGCTCCAAGGCGGCCGTCTGGGGATTCGCCAAATTGATCCCGAACCGCTCGATGTTCCGCAGCCTTGCACTGAGCTCATGTAAACGTACTCGGATGCTACCTACTTGCCAGCCGTCTGTGCTCGAGGTTCGCGAATCCATGCGTCCGGTCATCGAGAGTCCAGGCTTCGATCCGGCGACCAATCCCTGCCGTCTCGTCAAGTCGACGAAGCCAACTCTGACGTCATCGCAGTGCCTGAAGCGAGAGATCTACGGTTTCTTTCACCTGACCAAGGTGCTAAAGAACATCCAGGTGGACATGGCACAGCTAGCGCCCACCATGGCATAGAGCAAGGCCAGGATGTTGATCAAGCGCCGCCGCCGCCCCAGCAGAACAGGTGGCGGTGAACACTCATTGAATTTAGTCCAAAGTAGACACGTATGTGCCACATGCTGAGGGCAGGTTAATGCACGCACGCATACGCACAAACACGCACGCACACATACACGCACGCACACATACACGCACGCACACAAACACGCACGTACACCCGAACGCACATCCACGTGCGAACGTAACTATGCAAACACACGCATCCCGTCACGCACACCCCCATACATGTGTACCCGCGCATACGGGTGCATGCACATTCATTCATACACGCCTACCCCACAGGCAAGCACATACTCTCCGGTCTGAACGCCCCCTCCTGATCTGCCCCTACCAATGTGTGTCCCACTGAAACTATGCCCAGAGTATTCCTTTGCTCTCTTCTCAGGCTTTTCTGTTCTCTTCGAATTTGATATCATTTTCAGGATGGAATCTCCTCGTCAGGTATATAGCTCACAATAGTTTGTAGACCTACTTTCAGTCTCTGCATCAATGCGGATTCATTACAATCGTTATAATTATTAAAATTTAATATTACAATAATAATCACAATCGTCATGGGTGCGATGAGAACTTAGTGGCTGAGCCAAGGAAAAAATCACATTGAAAACATGGGAAACAGTGGCGCACAACTTAGTTATGCGTTAGAGTCCATCAATAGACGAGATTTTGAACAGTCGGACTCTTTGGAATTTTTTATTGCGAGGAAAAGGACCAAGGACTACAAGTTGCGCTGTGTTGTCCACTAACACTGTCTATTACTTGACAAGCAGCTCATCCGATACTCCTTGGTCCTTTTCTTTGCAATAACATTTTCCTTGGCTCTCCATCCCAGTTCATCTTTGGAGTTGGCACTATAAGTCTATTATCCATGAACCTTTCAAGTTTTAGTTAGTTGAAACTTGGAAGGCCGTTGGTTAGCGCTATCGAGCAGAACTCAAGCTGACTTTCATGCCAAGGATTGTCTCAGTACTCCTGGTCAGTTTGGTGCTAAATTGTGCACGAGTCTGACTGTTCAGGATCGGGTCTAGTTGCCGGACTCAAACACACTAACTTCCGCCCAACTGTTTTCTGTGTTTTCAAGTTTAATCGTAATAATTATGGCAAAGAAATGGACCGAGGAACTAGGAGTTAAGCTACATGTATAATGGCCACTGACACCACCAGTTACTAAACAATCAGCTCGTGCGATAACATTGCACGACACTGACCAGCGATACTGACGTTCTACAGCAAACTGCCAGTGTTGGTTGTTTGTTTGAAGTTCTATTTTTACAGCGCAAACCAAACGGACATTGATGCCAAATAATTATTATGATGGCGATAGAATAAAAAAATGTGGCTCTGTACTCGAGAAAATGATAAAGTAGTCAATAGGAATTATACATGTACATGTATCCGGCAATTACAAGCCAAGTTCGAACAGAATTAACAATCAGAGAGAAATGGGAAAATGAGGACCGATACCAGAGGGAGGTACTATTCGGCTATCTCTTAATTTGCTGGCCAAAAATCCTATATATAGGATTTGAAAATGTGTGTCTTTTATGCCGTTGTTATTGGTCATCACGACCAATAATAACGGCATAATGGTTTTCATGGAAGTTGTAAATATGTTTGAGGCATGAAGAGGAGTGTGACTGCCACACTCCTCCTTGAGAACCACTACCCACGGCGCATTATACAATCAGCCATACAACACTCCGACACCGCACGGACAACCGCACGCATCCGAGAGCAGCCCCACCAGCAGACACCACATCGGAAGGGGAAACGACAGTACACGTCACTTGTCAAGGTACCGTACGTAAATGACCAGCTTGCAAGGAGGGTTCGTCAAGTGGTCAGGTCGTTTGATAGAGATGTGCGTGTGGTCTTTACGTCCGGTCGCTCACTAAAGGATATGTTGGTCTCGTCGTCATTCAGCAAGCCACAATGCCCCAGGACGGTACAGCGGCAGAGGGAGAAGAGGGGGCGGGGGCGGCCGGCTGAATGTCGTGCATGCGATGGTGGTCTGAAGCGTAATGTTTGTATGTCCCAAGATGTGGTGTACTCTATGAAATGTACCATCTGTCAAGAAGAATACGTCGGGGAAACAGAAAGGACAACACGCAAGAGGACTGAGGAGCACTACAGACAAGCCAAGAACGCGACATTGGGAAAGCCATGGGGAGACCATTATCGACAAAAGCAGCACACCTTCCCATCGTCACCGCAGTTCTCGCCATTTTCCCATCTACAAGTTCTCGCCAGCAAGCAACGGTCTTACGTTGACCGCAGAATCATGGAGGCACTATTTATGAGGAAGAGGAAGCCGGCAGTGAACAGTGACAATGGTTGGTGACTGTTGGGTGATGTGTAAATATATCTGTCATAATTTGTGCAAGAATTTGTGCACTGTGTATGTGTGTGTGTGTGTGTGGGTGTGTGTGCGTGTGGTGCGTGTGGTGTGTGTGTGTGTGTGTATGTGTATGTGTGTGTGTATGTGTGTGTGTGTGTGTGTTGCTAGAAGTGTGTATTTTTCTGCTTTGTACTCACATTAGTAATCCTGCACTATCACTGCACTATATTTTCACTTCATACATATCACACAGAATAATAATCTCGCTTCCTGTGGTATTGCAACATTTTACGCTATACCATCACACCTTTGGCCACTAGTACTTGTCACATATATATATAGCCCTGTTTTGTCTACAGTAGACTTATTCCTGATGATGGGCCTTGCCCGAAAATTTGATCTAATGTATATCAATTGCAGTGTAGCCTAGAGACCGTTAGAGAGAGTGTGTACAAGGTGTGTGTACAGGATGTATGGATTCAAGTATTGGCTACAGTGGAGTCTCAAAACCTTGAGAAAATTGCTAAATTTATCCATGTTAATCATGTCGTTTTCCCTCTCCCAAATCTGACTGACCTTTTCCCTCAAGTTTCAACCGGCCCTAGGACAACAAGAAGCTCTTTTAATGCTGCTATTGCAATATCTAAATTCCGGACGACTGACGGTGTCAATTCCTTTTCAAATCGTGCTGCACTGTTCTTTAATTCTTTGCCTGTGGAGTGGCGCACCCAGCACCGCACTGCATTTGCTAAGCACCTTCAGACCATGCTAAAAGACGCAGCGTCTTTTCAGAAGTATTTTGATCTTCTTTTCAGCAAACGCCCTCATTGATCTGCACCGCCTGTATTGTATAACTGTGTTTACTGCGTTCCTAGTTTAAATTCGTTTTTAAAATATCTCTTTAATTCTTGCCTTATCCCATTATGACCATGCTTAAAGACGCAGCGTCTTTTCAGACGTATTTTGATCTTCTTTTCAGCAAACGGCCTCATTGATCTGCATCGCTTGTATTGTATACCTGTGTTTACTGCTTACTGCTTACTGCTGCTTTATTGTTCCAAGTATCAGTTTAGTTTAGTTTAAATATCTGTTATTATTATTTTTTCTCACCCCACACCCCTCTACTCTGTTATCGGCCCTCTTAAGAGTTGTGTTCATCACTGTTGAGGCTTCCGATGGAAAATAACAGAATACTACTACTACTACTACTACTACTACTGCTGCTGCTGCTGCTGCTGCTGCTGCTCCTACTACTACTACTACTACTACTACTACTACTACTACTACTACTACTACTACTACTACTACTACTACTACTACTACTACTACTACTACTACTACTACTACTACTACTACTACTACTACTACTACTACTACTACTACTACTACTACTACTACTACTACTACTACTACTACTACTACTACTACTACTACTACTACTACTACTACTACTACTACTACTACTACTACTACTACTACTACTACTACTACTACTACTACTACTACTACTACTACTACTACTACTACTACTACTACTACTACTACTACTACTACTACTACTACTACTACTACTACTACTACTACTACTACTACTACTACTACTACTACTACTACTACTACTACTACTACTACTACTACTACTACTACTACTACTACTACTACTACTACTACTACTACTACTACTACTACTACTACTACTACTACTACTACTACTACTACTACTACTACTACTACTACTACTACTACTACTACTACTACTACTACTACTACTACTACTACTACTACTACTACTACTACTACTACTACTACTACTACTACTACTACTACTACTACTACTACTACTACTACTACTACTACTACTACTACTACTACTACTACTACTACTACTACTACTACTACTACTACTACTACTACTACTACTACTACTACTACTACTACTACTACTACTACTACTACTACTACTACTACTACTACTACTACTACTACTACTACTACTACTACTACTACTACTACTACTACTACTACTACTACTACTACTACTACTACTACTACTACTACTACTACTACTACTACTACTACTACTACTACTACTACTACTACTACTACTACTACTACTACTACTACTACTACTACTACTACTACTACTACTACTACTACTACTACTACTACTACTACTACTACTACTACTACTACTACTACTACTACTACTACTACTACTACTACTACTACTACTACTACTACTACTACTACTACTACTACTACTACTACTACTACTACTACTACTACTACTACTACTACTACTACTACTACTACTACTACTACTACTACTACTACTACTACTACTACTACTACTACTACTACTACTACTACTACTACTACTACTACTACTACTACTACTACTACTACTACTACTACTACTACTACTACTACTACTACTACTACTACTACTACTACTACTACTACTACTACTACTACTACTACTACTACTACTACTACTACTACTACTACTACTACTACTACTACTACTACTACTACTACTACTACTACTACTACTACTACTACTACTACTACTACTACTACTACTACTACTACTACTACTACTACTACTACTACTACTACTACTACTACTACTACTACTACTACTACTACTACTACTACTACTACTACTACTACTACTACTACTACTACTACTACTACTACTACTACTACTACTACTACTAC